AACTGCCCCCTCCTAAGACCCCCCCCAAACCGCCCCCCAGGACCCTACCCCCTACCTGTACCCTGATTGCCCAAAACCTTACCCACACCTCCCAGAAAGCCCCCCCCGAACTCCCTGCCCCTTCCCTGCCCCCCTTGTCGTTGGCCTTCGGTTCGCCTAAGGTCTCTCTGGGAGCTTGCTGAGTCTGAGCCGTTCTCCCGGCAGGCTGGCCAGCAGCGGGGGAGGAGCTCCAGCCTGCCGGAGGCGAATGCAGGGAGGGAGGGAGCTCTGCTGCAGGGGGGGGAGGGGGAAGTGGAGGAGGGGTCTCTCTCTCGCTGTCGGAGCCCCATGTAAGTAGCACCATCCGGCTGCCCTGTTAGCCAAGCGTGCTCTGCATGGGGGGGAGGGGAGGGAGGGAAGTCCGGACATTAACAAATTCCCCCCGACGCTATTTTTAGTTCAAAAATCCGGACATGTCCGGGGGAATCCGGACGAATGGTAACCCTAGAGGGGTAATTTACAAAATGTGGTAAAACATAAACCAAATGGTCTGAGCAACTTAATCTTATATTGTAGATTACCTGACCTATTTATTAATTTTCCAGGTGCTTGTCAGTTGAGTAATTTTTCCCGAAAGGGAGAAATGCCAGCGACTCCAAGACGCTCACTAGGAACATTGCTCTAGCTCTTGCTTTTACACGGAAGGCACTCAGATACTATGGGCAGCAGTATAAAACCCTGAAAGAGAGAGAGAGAAAGTATTTAAATCAAATGCCAGGAAATAATATCTCGACTTAAACAATATTGGAAGTTACTCTGGGAACAGAGTATAAAGAACAAGTATCAGACAGTAAATGGCTCTGTCATAACGGGAATACTATCATTAGCTGGAAGTAGTTCATTGATAATGGGCCCGATTCTACTACTCCTTTCAGGATCAGCTCCTAAATTCTGTAATAGAAATTACAGCTGATCAGTTACGCTTCTAACAGCAGGTGCATTGTATACAGTAGCAACATTTTGGCTGCATGTAAGTTTTAAAACAAGGAATTCTTATGCCACTATCTAAAACAAAACCTGACATAGTATATTGAAACAATATATAAATCATTTAAAGTGTTTTCATTTTTCAGAAGTCTCCTGGGTTGGAACAGGCACAAAAAACCCTTTCAGCGAAAGAGGTGGCAAAGAAGAATGCAGATTTAAAAAGAAAGGTATTTCTGATTTTGAAAATTGTTGCTAGTAAAGGCTTTTGGTCCCTGAAGTTATATATGGCTTCTACACTTTGTTGACATTTTAAAAAGCTAGAATTTGACTGGAAAAATAAATTTTTATGAAGGGATTCTTTTTCTTTTTTTACTGATCTTTTGTCTGGGACCAGTGCTTGGAACAATTTACAAGTCCTGAAAGCATTTGTACTAGTCTAGGGAAGTCCTTCTAATCCTCATGTCATGAGATCCTGGAATTTTAAATCATAGCATTATTTACTGTCTTGCCCTTTTCATTTTATTTTGAGTATGGCTGAACCAGCTAATATCTCAAAGGCCATGATAAGAGATGAAAGCCTTGATTTTCAGATTTCTGATTACCCTCAACTCCCCTGAAGCCAACACCTTGTACAATCAGGCCTAAATGCTTTATAGTATTTGAAAACTAGAATTCCAAGTGTTCAGCCTTTTTAAAGCATTGATTTTTAACTCCAACAGTTCCTGTGACATCAGCTACTAAAATCATGTTGTAAGTGAAGTGTGTGTATGTGGGCAAAAGATAGATTACAATTGGGATCATATCATTTTAAGATCTGATATTTCATGGCCTACCAAAGCTAGAAATAGTGCTTTATAATTACAAAAGGTCTCCAGGCTGTGACAATTTTGGGGCTGTGGCAAATCAGCTGCAGCGACGAGAAGAATAATTTATTTAATTGAAACTACAGGAGAATACAGGATAAGGAAACAATTTCTGTGTTACCAAACTGAATATCTTTCTTGTTTTCTTTTCCCTTTTTTAGGTTTTCCCACCTTCAAAAAAGCATAATATTCAGAACAACCTGGACTTGGCAAAGAAAATCACTCTCTCAGAAACCTGTAGACTGTATTTTGGTGCCCTTCACAAGGCCATTAGGGTGTTTACCAGTAGTCTTAGCAATAATCAACCGCCTGAAGTCTTCATAGCACAGAGCAAACTGATCATTATGGTGGGACAAAAGTTGGTAGATTCTCTCTGTCAGGAAACTCAAGAAAAGGATATTCGGAATGACATCCTCTGCAGCAGCAGCCAGTTTTGTAGCCTGCTGAAGAATTTGGCTGTTGCCACCAAAAATGCGGCAGTGCAGTATCCAAATACAGGTGCCGTGCAGGAACTTCAAAATCAAGCTGATGAGCTGTCTAAATACACTCAGCAGTTTAGAGCAATGATGGAATGAAGAAGTCTTTCCATTCTTAGAATAGAATGGTGAAAACTTTAGGATCTCCCCCTATTTCTGGGTTTTAACCCCTCAACTATGGTATCCTGAGAGCCAAGGAAGACAGGACTCCACAAAGAACCCAAATGCCAGTATTAAATCAGCCATACCCTGTAGAGGTTGCTGTTGGGCAATGAAAGGTGTACTAAGGCCCTGAGAGCAGGAGACACTAGGAATGTTACACAGGCTGCGGCAGCAAGCCTTGGCCTCCCAGTCTGGGTTGACAGATTTGGGTTAGTGGGGCATGCTCTGGTGCTCTAAAAACAGATGTATAGACAGCGCTTTGAAGTGACAGTGAAACTCAACCCCTCCTAGGCTTCAGAGCTTGTGCTCCAGCCCAAGCTGCAATTTCAAAGCGCTGTCTATACACCTATTTTTAGAGTGCTAGTGAAAGCCAGCTACCCCGAGTTTATCACCCTAGGCTAGGAGGCTGACTCCCACGGGCTGTGTAGAAATGCCCACTCTGACCAGGAATAGAATTTGTACTTTCCACACAACAGTTTAGAGCACTGTCTGGAAAATGCTGAGTCAACCCTTCCAATCAATCGTCTGAGTGACTTGGCAAAAATTGCCATAGAGCATTGTTATACAATTATTTTATTATTTGTCTGATTTCTTATCTTTCCAAACAAAGCAGTTAAATATATTTTTCTATTCTTTTTCACTTGGAAATGTAAGTGTTTTACTGGTTTTCCTGATAACAGACCAAGATTTAAACTGTGATACATTTTTATGTGAAGCCATCATCATTCTCCCTTTTCCAGGGGATTGTTTACTGTATTTGTTTTAATCTACGGATATTTTTAATAAAATGTCATTTACAGATCTTTCATATTACAATGTTATGAGCACATTATGGAACAAATTCTGGCAGATTATGTGTATATAGGCCTCAGAAAACCCATACCCAGCACCATAGAGAAAGCTGTGTTCCCCATTCTGGTTCTCATCTAAACCCACGGAGCAACTACTGCTTCACAGGTCTTCCATGAAAGAAGCTATAATGGACCATTACAGAATTGGCCTCAAAGTTTAGGGAGCATGGTCAGCATGTTTATGATCACTAAACACACATAAAATCTGTGCAGGTTGTTCATGCAAAATTAGGGTGAATGTCAAGACAGGAATAATCCGTTTATTGGGTTGCTGCTGGCCAGAATATGGGTGCACAGTAATGCTGCTCTTGCAGGATACATGTGTGCTCATTTTGAGGACACTTCTGCATAGTTCAGGAATTTGATCCAATGATTTTTGTATGATTTCGCTCTCTCTCTGGGGTTCAGATATTATAGTGATGGGGGCCATATAAATACCTAAATAGGTTTTTGTGTGTTGTTTTGTATTTTTTTTTAGCAATTAATTTATTTTTTTAAAAAATATGGCTTAAATTTTCAAGTCTTGTCTTCCTTTTGTAGGTACAATTTGTATCTGTATCTTCTGATAATCATGCAGATAGTTTTGCCAGTATTTGCAGTCACAATTCATTTGTGGATGCAAAAATTTGGGTGCAATTTGTCCCTGTAAAGAAAATTTGGCTGTCTCAGTGTAATGTTCCAACATGCAACAGAATGCATTGCTGAAACAGCTGGATTCAGACAGATTTACGATGGAAGTGCAAAGAAAAAATATTTAAGCCGCTCTTTATTTTGAGCACACTGTACATATTTTGGCCTGACCTGATATCTGCAGAAATTTGTTCTCTGCATTTCCGATGTTTAATTTTGTTCTTCTATTTTCCCTTTTAAATGAGTTTTACAATTTTTGTAGTTCACAAAACATTAATAAATAACATATTGATAAAAATATGTTTAATTTATCAATATACCATTGCAAAAATGATGTTGTGCCTAAGTCCTTAACAACTCTCTCACAGACTTAATTGGGCAGGGCAGGAGATGGGGTACTTGGTTTAGGTATCTCTTTCCAGTTATTTGATGCAAGAAAAGGGAGCGAGAACAGGAACAAGTAGTGATGCGGCTAATTCTATCAATTCAGACTAATAGCTGAACCAGTTGTTTGTTCATTTCCCCATATTTTCCTAGCTGTGTTTTCTGAAAGCATTTTAATTTTAGAACCTTCTTATCAAAACAAAAACAAAAACAAACAGAAACAAATTCTGCTTTGAATCAGTTTAAACGATGGTATCAGTTAAGTAGGTTTTGTAACTCTGAGCTATAGCTTGCTGAAGAGCACCTAAGAAACAACCACAAAGAAGTCTAATATAGTATACACCTCTACCTCGATATAACGCTGTCCTTGGGAGCCAAAAAATCTTACTGCGTTATAGGTGACACTGCGGAATATTGAACTTGCTTTGATCCACCGGAGTGCGCAGCCCCGCCTCTCCCCACCCCCTCAGAGCACTGCTTTACCGTGTTATATCCGAATTCGTGTTATATCGGGTCACATTATATCGGGGTAGAGGTGTATGTATAAATCCAGGGCAGAAGTAGGCCCTTTGATGGGGAAGTTTCAGTAGTATTTTCTCTTGAAAGAAACTGAACACTAACATAACTATTACTATTTGTTATTCCTATCAACAAAGAAAGAATGGAAAAGGATACATGTTAAGGTGGGGATTTTCAAATATAAAATGGGCAAGTAATTTTACTGCACAAAATCCAACAGTAATCATTGGAGGGGTTTTAAAGGAAAATTTCATTGCACTATAAACAGTATTGCAAGTATCACATTCAGGTACAAGAAGAGTAAATTAATAAAAAACACAAGGGTCTTAATATAATGAAAATGGTTTATTAAAGAGACTGGCCCAGGATTTGGTAGAAGGATATAGTACCTTTTACTTATAGGCTGCTTGTTTAAATTCAACCTTTCTGTTGCCTCTTTCAGTGGCCTACGTGAAATCTAGTCTTAGTCTAGTTCTCAGTCGGAGGGTGTCCACATAATGACTGTCATCCTTTTAGAGTCTCAGCACTAAGGACATGGTCTGAATGGACCTTGAAATTTACTGAATGGACGCACGAGGAATCGCAATAAACCACAATCCTGCAATCTTAACTTTCGAAAAATTCCCACAGTCAATTGGAATTTTGCCAGATTAAGGGCAGCAAAATTTGACCTTTTTTTGTGTGTGAAGGTGAAGGAGCTGGAGGAGGTAAAATGAAGTGCATGAGAAGTGTGTCTGTGAGAGAGACAGACAGGGAGAGAGAGCGACATCACTATTGCTGCTTTGCTTTCACACTGACATAAATCAAGGTCAAAGGTACACAAAAGAGAGACCCTAAAGGCAGTCTGTTCTCAGAGGCTGGCCAATGAAATCTGAAAAAGGTTCAGAAAAAGGCTCATTTCATTCATGCCTCCAGTGCATGAGTCCATTCTGTTGACCTGTTCTCATGTCTCCAGGCCCAGGGGTTTGTCCCTGTGTGCCAGGACCCGTCTTTGTGTGTTATCCCTGTGTGCAAATATGCCAATGTCCATCCCCATGTGCCCATGCCATCCTTGTGTGCCCACATGCCAATGCCCAGTCCTCTGTGTTTTGTGCCTGTGTTGTCCCTGTGTGCCGACATGCTAGTGTCTGGCCCTTATACCTGTGCCATCTCAGCTTCCCAATATGTCAGTGCCCACCCCTATGTGCCTGTGCTGTCGTGGTGTGCCTCTATGCTAATGTCCATCCCCATATACCCGAGGGTTGCCACCTCTGAGGTACAAAAACCCATGACATCCAGGATGGTCCTGACCCCCATAAAAACTGGACAGCTGGCAGTTCATACTGAGGACCCTTACAGATTTCCCAGGACGGCTACCTCAAAAAAGGGATGATCTTGGGAAAAACTGGGCAGGTGAGAACCCTACGGTGCCCATGCTGTCCCGGTGTGCCTTCATGCCAGTGCCTGAGTGGTCTGAGTTAAACATGGTCTGAGTTAAACAGGATGAAGTTTAACAAAGACAAATGCAAAGTGCTCCACTTAGGAAGGAAAAATCAATTTCACACATACAGAAT